GAGTAGAGACGAGAGAGAGAGAGAGTGGGAATGGAGCAATGGGTTTGGAGTGCCGGAACAGCATGGAGAGAAGTGGGTATTTAAACACAGAGTTTGAGAATTGGTCTGCCATTGAGGCTTGGACGGGGTAACAGGGTGAATAGAGTTTTGTTTGAGGGAATAAGTCTTGTGACCCTACTTTCAGAGCTGAGTGAGACTGCCTCTTCTCTCCCTCTCTTTTCTTTTCTCTTCTCATCTCTTCTTTTCTTTTCTTTTCTTTTCTCTTTTTTTTATTTATTTTTTATTTTTTATTTTTTAGGGAGAGAAAAAATAGTGTAAGTTAATTTTTGAAGTTTTTAAGACAACGACATTTTCCGGGCTTAGTACAAGCACTTAGTTTGAATACAAGCAAGTGGAATGGTGTCCTTGACGCTTATGTAAAAGACTATAACATAGAAAGTGCTGGGACAATATATATCTAGGAAATTTATCAAAATATTCATGAAAGACACATTATTTAGTATTTTCCATTTTTTGACACTATTCTAACTCATGATCATAGGTTTTTTTATGGGTATTTGGAAACTAAATCAAATATTATGGATACAATGTTAAATAGTTCGTCTTATGGGTATTTTGAAACTAAATCAAACATGATAGATACAATACAATGTATATTTTGATAAATTTTCCTATATAATTGAAACATCCTTTTGTGTTATTCTCACCTGGAAAAGGATGAACTTTTCCGTTCTTGGCTATGTGACAAGGGAAAAGACTCATTGGTAATATGGACCCACGTACCTAATTGTAGACTTGGTCCCGCGGAGTACCAGTTTAAGAGATATATGTTCGTCTCAAAAATTGAGATCAATATGAAAAGTCATGCTCTGAGTGAAATTAACTCTGGTCTTCTATTTGATAGATGATCAAATCTAGGATTTTACGAGGTAAAAACTCGCAAAAACAAAAATCCTTTTTTTTTTTTCTCACAAGGTGTGATAAATGTTTTTCCCTAGACATAGTGTGCATAGTGTGGTCCCATGGGACCACATTATAGACACCAATATCTCTATTGTAATGATACGTTAGGATAGATAAATATATGTTGGAAATACTTTATTTATTTCATCTACAAAATGGAAAAATCAAGTGGGCATTGGTTAGGAGTTAGGATTTGATTCAAGTGGAAGGCTAGGAAAACCCAAGGAGAATACCCAATAAAACATGGATAGAAATAGTGATAAAATATATAGTGATTTTTTGTCTTAATAAGGGTATGACCCTTGATAGAGAAAAGTGAAGGAATATGATTTGTGTGGCCGACCCCAAATCATCAGGATAAGGCTTGAATGATGATGATATATATAACTTTTTAGGAATTGGGCTTGGGCTTGAGTGGTTAGTAGTTGATTTTTAGTAGCGCTACGCCTCAAATTCCTGCTATTGAACTACCCAAAAAAATTTAAAATAGACATACAAAACTTTCAAAATAAATTTCTCCCTTATAGTATGGCCATGTCAATCACTAGAATGCATGTTTGAAGCAATTATTCTTGCTTTATATTGGGTTCAATCAACTTTGGCCACCAATTAGGAGATTTACTTTTAATACAAGGAAGTCATAATTACCATTAGTCATTAGATGTAAATTTGACAAATTAGAGTGTGTCACATAGTTTATTAAATTTTATTTTGAATTTTGTGTGTAATTACTCACACATACCAACTACCGGATTTCACATCAAATGATTAATAGTGATTGTATCATCCTTGTGCTAAAAATAAATAATCTTATTGTATAGTTTTCCAAAATAATATGAAAAACCATGATTTAAGACTATAGTCAATTTTTAGAAAAATTGTGATGAACCTTGAAGATCAAAAGAGCGAGTAAAATCTTTTATTTAACCAAATGATATCAAAGTTGACATTATCGGTTGTCGACTGTAACACTATTTATTTTTGGTATCAGAAAGTCACAATCACCCCTAGTTGTCAGATATGAAATCTAAACCTGGAGACTACACATATACCATAAATTTCAAAATTAATATTTTTAAACTTTGATTCCAAACAACAGCATGCCCTTAGGAGCTTAATTTTACATTTAATGGCAAACAGCAATGGTGACTTCATGTATAAAAAATGAACGGTCTTGTTGGCTTACTTTCAGTATGGCCAAGACAATCTTGTTCTTCTCCCACCAACTTAAGCCACAAGAGCCTGAAAGGCCATTCATGGTATCTAAATTATAGGCCCAAAGGAGGGAATCCTCACAAGGAGGGATATTTTCTCTTTTTTCACCATGAGCAACTCTTCAGGATGTACACAGTCTAAAGCTTTCCTAAGTTCACCATAACTTGGGTATCTTGAACCCTAGAAGGCAATGGAGAAAGGGTGTCTTGATGCCCTTCATTCTTTTTCTTTTGCCTGCTCCCTAGATTCCCCCCATCAACATCAAATAACCAAAAGAATATAAAGATTAGACAACACCCATTTATTTATTATGCTTTCTTTATGTGTTAAGGGTGTTATTTTATGTTTGTGTTGTTGGTTAAATGCTTTGAACTAGCCGACTTAAGGCAGTCCCTCTAAAGCATCTGGTCAATGCTAAATTTAGCTTTATTTTTTACAACTTAAACTAGATGCCAATCTCTAGAACCCTAATTTTGTATCTGTTTTAACAAATTAGAACACTGGTAGAAGAACTGCCGAATCTCAACCTACTTAGAAAAAAAAAGGAATTAAAAACCCATTTTTTATTATTAATATTCTATGATTTAAAAGCTACTTTTGCCAAATGGCTTCTTCTCAAATTAGAAAAATTAAATAGTTGGTATTATATGGTTTAGCATAAATGATAGTCTAAAATCTCTACGCTAATCATTGACAAGGGAGCAACTGAACATCAGTGGGGATTTGGATTTGGTTTTGGTAGGGGAAGAAGCTTCTGCAATTCAGTTTCTTTAATACAACTAGGGACATTTTTTGGGGTAATTCAATGGGGGAAGACATGCCCCTACCCGATTTTTAAAATAGTTTAGGAGTTAGTTTTTTTTTTAGGCTTAGTACAGTGGTATTAGTAGAAATAGAAACCACAACATGGTGACTAATGACATATTTGAATATGGTGAAGAATATATATACTATATATTTGACACTTATTCTCTTAGGCAAAAGACTTACATGGAAAAAATATTCCAATATGAAATTTTAGGAATCACTTAAAAATCACTAGATAATTATGTTCAAAAGAAATAATATGAATTTTGATATTTTTAACACTTAGATCTCACCTTTCAAAAATTGATACTTTCTATTCAGTTTTGAGGCGTTTTTTTTAAAGCCTATAGAGAATATGATTTAGAAAAAAAAATGATTTTAGCACATACATTTTTGGAGGTTATATTCCCAAAATTTGAAGTCTGAAAATATTCCAAGATTGAATTTTACCCAAAGGAGTATATGGACAGTATGCTCCATTGGGAGCATGAAATCTTTTGACTTGTACAAGTGATGAGTAACTTCTCTTTACTTTTTTTAAAAAAATGGGGTTTGTCCACTTGGTTTAGGAGGTAGGCTAAGATATACTGATAATATACTACTAATATGGGAGAAGATTATATAAGCCAACCGGCTCAAGCTACAACCCAAAATACATAGCACTAGAGCCTCAAAATATAGAGCTAAATGAATGTGTTTGAGGTGAAATTTGCACAACATTTTTTATTAAAAAAATAAGTTATTATAAATAAATGATTTTTAGGTCTTCAAGGCTAGGATCCACCACCGTTCACCAAATATATAACTTGCATTGGCTGAAAAAAAAAAAAAAAGAAGACATACTCCTTTTTAACAATTTTTGTATAATTATTATTTTTGAATATTTAGATGAGACCTAAATGCGTACAAAAAACGGCCCGTATTTTTAGAACTGGCTTACACTGCAATATAAGCTAGTTGAACTAATTCTCAATGATCTCATCCTAACCCGTTGGGATGATATATACAGGCTCTCCAGCCAGTTTACAATATCAGTTTAGAGAGAATTCTCCGGGCAAAATTCAGTGCTTCCGAGATATTTAATTTCTTCTTGTTTCTACTTCTAATTTATTTTAAGGTTTAGTGCACCACTCAACTTTTATTGACGCTAGGATTTTTCTTTTTTATTTTAGGGTAGGGGGCTTTAAATAATAATTCATGAAGGAAATGAAAGTTTACAAGAACGAACAAAGGAGACAAGAAAAAGGAAAGATCACATCCAATGAAACGACAACTTTATTTATGTTAGATCATCATCAGAGTTTTTTTCAACTATTTGGGGTCGGACACACGAATCCTGGTCTGTCATTCTGCTCTATTAAATATCATACCCTTAGTAAAGTCATAAATCCTCATATCTTTTTTTACCACTTTCAACTTTATTCTTCTTGGTCTACCCTCGCTCTTTTTATTGATGCTAAATGCACCTCATAATACCTTAGAACTACCCCTTTGTATTTGCCCTCATATTTGACTCATTAACATGTATTTCTCAAGAATGAGCCTAATAAAATCCTGCAAAATTAGCAGCCATCGTGAAAGTATTCAATGAGATCATTGACCTTAGTGCAAAAATGTAGCGAATAGCTTGACCCCCTCAAATGTGAAAGAAATTATATGGCCTTCGTTGTACCATTAACCGGGTTTAATGTCAAATTATACTCTCTTTGGACTCAATACTTATCTCATCCCATTGGACTTTTGCATGTAATAGTTTGAAGTGTATTTTGTCTAGGGGTGGCAATGGACCCAGACCT